GTTTAGGGTCTTATTTTAAGTCTATTACACTTTATATGTGATCCAGGGGTATGATGCAGACTGCTATAGAAAGGAGCTTTGTTTGACTTTAGGAACCCAGCCAGGGGTATGATGCAGACTGCTATAGACAGGACCTTTGACTTTAGGAACCCAGCCAGGGGTATGATGCAGACTGCTATAGAAAGGAGCTTTGTTTGACTTTAGGAACCCAGCCAGGGGTATGATGCAGACTGCTATAGACAGGAGCTTTGTTTGACTTTAGGAACCCAGCCAGGGGTATGATGCAGACTGCTATAGACAGGAGCTTTGTTTGACTTTAGGAGTATATTTCTATGTATTATATTATTATACGTAACAATATCCTGCAGTATGTTATTATACGTTACATTATCTTGGAGTTTGTTATTATATGTAAATTAAACGACATTACACTTCAATTAATTTCCAAAAAGACTTTGTTGTTATAGAGCTTTCCAGTTAAAATGACGCTCGGGGTTTTATCACTCTCCAGTGGGCTGGATTATAATATGAAACCATGTGAGATCAAATTGAGAAACAAACATATTATGACTAGTTGAGAGTAGTGTTCGATTCTTAACTCTGGCGAGGATACATGTTGCCATCAGATGGTGAGAAAACAACAAAAGATTTCTAATCTTACTTGGAAATTGGATTGAAGAAAATATAAAGATGAATCCTTATTTTAAGATTTCACGAAATAAGAGCTTTCACTGAACGTTCATGTTTACACTGAAGAATTTAAATTCAGCTGAATCTGTGCTTGCATGTTCAATATACGGCCAGATTTATTAGGTTACCACAGGTTATCTTCCCGGTCTTCAATAAATAGAGATTCCAGGCTCCAAGAACCCAGACTTTTAAATGCTAATTAGTTACATCTACTTTATTGTAGAAGGTATAAGTTTTTTTTTAGAATCAACCTTCTAAGCAAATAGCCATAATGCTGTTACTTGTTAGTTTAGTGACACAGGGGCACGTCTGTGGAATTATACTGCTAGAAACTGGGTTTCGATAATCGTGGTGTAGTTTTGTGCTTGATCACAAACGAACCTTACGGTTTTCTATATTCACTCTGCTTCTTCTACTGTTACACCTAACAAACCTATATGATATGTATTTAATGAGGCATGTCATAATCCTAGTTAATATTTTTGTTTTTAAACTTTTATTAAACAGTAAAACTAAATTTCCTTTTGCTACTGCTTTGTGCTATCAAAAATCTGTCTCAACCAAGTCAAAAATAATGGTGTCAGAATGTTTTTTATTTTATTCGGTCACTGGTGAATAAAAGAAAAGGAACCAATAAAAAGTACATTAATCTCATTTCAGCCTCTTGGCCACCTGATGATCTGTGAAACGTTACTAAACATTACATCCATTCTATGTTAATCAATGTATCATTTAATAATCAGAAACCCAGGTGAAGTGCAATAGGTGGCGCCTCTAGTAACATTACTAAACATTTACACTTTCGTATTTAAAAACAATTATTACTTTATGTTTCAAATAAGAAAATTTATTACAGAGATGTCGTAACTATTCCTGGTTCATTGAACACTATGTTCTTACTCTGTAACACAGAAATGTATGAGTGCT